ACATTAGAACTTTCCCCTTTCCCTTATCAATACACTCAACTAACAGCACATAATAACTCCACTTACTGCATTCCAGGAGTTGCTGAAGACATGCATTAGATGCTGTGTGCAGACTGTGCCTTCAAAATACTTTTTACAGACAGTACTAGAATGACTAGAAATTTTCAGCGTGGTTATTATTAAATAATTTGTACCTGTGCAATGACTTACAGCAAAGTCTGAAAAATGCTTTGGCATTAAGAGAAGCCTCTCAATGTTTTTGAGGAAAGAACTATTTCTGGTCAGAACCTTTTTTTTTGCCTTTTTTTTTTTTTTTTTTTTTTTTTTGTCCTGTCTGGTTCCATTCCCACTCTTGCTTTTTCACGTCTTTTATTGTTATGATTATTACTATTATTACTATTATTAATATTATTACTATTATTACAGTAAAAATACGAAACTCTGGGCTATTATTAAGGCTCTCTCTGTTCTATTGTGACTTTTAATGTCCAAGAGAAGAGCATGAGTATGACTTTTTTGCTCATTTGCTGTGTGTCATGGAAAAAGCGATCTTAGATATAGATCTGAAACATAGATCTGAGTTTTCTTTCTTCTTTTTTTTTTTTTTTTTTTCCCTTCCCCAGTACTCAAAGCACTTGCTTAAAAAAAGATACAGAAAGATACTCAAAGAAATCAACTCACCTGATACACTGTAGGAAGAGATTTGACCATAGCTCCCAAACTTGTGCTCTGACCATCAGTGAACAGCTATGCTTATCATGATAACTTGTTTTTAAACCAAGAGTGATGTGCAGGGAAAATTAAGATTGTATATTGATGGAAAAAATGTAAAATGGTCTGAAATATAGGAGATAGGGTGATGGAGACTGACCCCAGTCACCTATTATTTGTGTAATTTTAATTACTCGCTCTTTAATTTAAGCAGCTGACACACACTTTCAGTGGTGTTCAGAAAGTTAATAGGGCAGCTGAGTAAGGACTTTAAGGTCATATTCTTGTCCTTTGGTGCTTATTTTATTTATTAGTTGCTTCATTAATATTCTTAGGATTACAGAAATGATCATTTATGTATATAATACATCTTACAATACTATACATTGGTGAATATTGTTCTGTTTATTTCTAAATATGTCTTCTTGATTTTTAGTAGTAAATTTAAAATTTGTATCAAGTTTCTTCCTTCTTTACATTATTTCTTAGTTATGATATGTAGTCATCAGTTTGCTGACAATAATTTTCCCAGATGTCACTCTTTGATTCCACCCTTCCCAACTGAAATTAAAATATTGACAAAAAGCATTTAGTATGAGCAGAGAAAAAATGTGAAGAGCCATTTAAAGTAGAGGAAGTTCTACATGTATTCCTTCTATACATATGCATTTATGATTCATTTCCAGTTACATAAAGAGTAATGTGTGTAAAATTAGTGTGCTGTCTCATGTTCTTCTTGTATGTAGATAAGTGATGACATTTAATTGGCATTATTTTTTTAAACCAAACAAACTACTATTTGCAATGTGAGAATAGAGAGAACCTATTGTTTCTGGGCCATGATATCTTCAGTGGAGTTGAAGGGGAACTGGTAGATTACTGGAGTGAATGGAGTTTGCCTTGTTCATTTATTAAATCTTTTTCCCAATTTATTCACCCTCTTGCTTATGCATCTGTCTTTGTCGATAGCACTGTGCAGGAAGGGAAAGTAAACACAGAATTGGCTGAGGACCTGCAAGTTGCAGCAGTAGCTCTCAAGAACAAAGGTGCTTCAAGCATGTGGTTATCCAGTTCCTGAGGATAGAAGAGTGGACATGGTGCCATTCCATCATCCTCCAGCCAAACTTTCATAGTAGGGATAGAGGGAGCATGCAAGATGCTGCCTGTGATATGTCTTGTGATGAGGCTCCAGGAGAGGCTCCTTTGCTCCCTTCTCTGGCTGGAGAATGCTTGCTTCTTCCCAGCATTTCTTTCTGAGCAATTCTACCCCTTTGTGCAGGTCCATCTCCCACTGGGAGATGTTACCCAGTAACATCTGGGTACAACAACCAGTGTTACCCACTGGTATGGGTGCACAACTTGAGAAGAAGAAGAAGAAACTCCCTGCTCCCATCACTCAGATGGAGAGGTGACTTTGGACAATGCTTTGCAACTGTAGTTGAAGACAATGAGTGCACTAATGAGGTGAGTCAGAAAAATTATCACTGAATGGATGACTATTAAAATATTTCTCATAATTCCTTGTGTGTTATCATGAATATTGTTTTTTTCTTCATTGGCACATTTTATTACTTTTCTGTTTAGAGGTTACCTTATGGTGGACCTTTAGTATCCCTTAAGGCTTTACAAACAAGACTGTGTATCAACAGATTGTGTGATACAGTGACACACATCAGTAAGTATTCTCTGTTTTAAATTCATTGCAGTGAATCGATCTCATAGCATTAACAAATCTTTTTACATATCATCCTGAAATATCTATTCAACTTAAACAGCATGGTTTAGACATTGAGCAATGGGCAGTGAGATCACAGTCAGCATTGTAATCTGAAGAATTATAGAGTTTTAAGGAGGAATGTGTTTTCCTGCTGTCAATAAATGTTGTAAATCCTGAATCAGACAATGCTGCAGTGATATCAAGACAGAGCAATCTAAAAATGTGTAGCAGAACTGCTAAGTCACAGCCTGAACCAGAAATTGAGCACCTGGTGGGAAGGTAGGGGCAATCCAAGGCACCTCAGGTGCATGCAATGCCCCTGAGTGACTGGAAGGGGTGGAGTCAGAATCCCCCACATCCCAGACCTCATATAAGGGTTGGCAACAGAGGCAATAGTATGTTGCTGGAGCTCCCTGCGTACCTGAGACCTTTGAAAGGTAAGCAGCTCTTTTCCTTCATATCTGTGTCTATGGTTGCTGCATTTGGGTTTGTTTTCCTCAGTTGCTGCAGTCAAAAGCTTTGTCACCCTGCTGTTATTGCTGTACTTCTATCACATTACAGTGTTACACGATAGCATAAAATTATCAAGAGAAGGAAGGGAGTGGGCTACAGAGAACTTAGCACTTCACAGGGTTTGCACATGTGGTCAAGGCAAATTTCAAATACGTTGTATTGTCATTGTTCTATATTTAGTTGCACACCTGCTAGGAAATTCAGTCTTTGCTCTGTCATATAAACAGATAGGCTTTAGGAAACACTCATCATTTTAATCCCAGCATGCTAATGGCCCTAGTGTGAATACAGACTTCTCAATTAAATTAAAGTAATTTGAGGAAAGAACAAGTCTCACAGGCTCAAGTAAGGTTTCAATAACAGCAGTAAATTCAGCTGTCTATTCTTGAAGTCTTTTTCATTGGATGGTGTGTTGCTGGGATTTCTGGTTCTACATAGATTGTTTGCTTAGATGCAATCTGAAAAGCATGTGTTCCAGTAAGAAACTCTTGAAATAGTCTGCAATACAGCTATGTTGCTGAAAGTGCATTTGTACTTCCCCTAGAGTTAAATTTCTGAGATCCCTTGGAGTTAGCCTGGTGATATGGAGCCCTGATGCTTTTTCTGGGATCTTCTTTGATGTAGGTCTGTGCAGACTTCTTTCTAAGAGCGCTTCAGATCTGCAGGATATTTTAAGGGCTAGAACAAAATATGTGTCTCTAGCCAAAGAATAGGAATTGTAAATGGGTGAAATGACCCCACATTAATACAACCCATGTAGCCTTATCTATTTACAGTGTTTTATATTTCTAACTACCGGATATTTATAAAAAGTCACTATCTCTATTGGCATTTGACAAAGGACACAGTTAAATGGACCTGGCATTTTCTTATTCATGTTGTCGAGCTACTTGAATTAAGGTTCAGGCATCATATGATACTGTGTGTTTTATGGATAAAAACAATCTGACTCCTGCGTGGGCACCAAGATCTAGCTTTGCTTCGAGAGATATTTGCCTTCATTTTTTTTAATTTTTTTTTTTTAACTTTTATTTTTAACAAATACAAAAATACATTTTCTAACACACTCTTCAGTGATCACCTTAATTTTAGTGCTTAATTTTGCTTCACGTAGGATTGTATCTTATTTACAAGTCTTTACAGATGTGCTTTCCAGTATACGTGAGAATTTTGCATTATGTTTTTCTCTGAATTGCCCCTCTTTACTTTTCTCCCTTTCTTTGGTTTGTTCATTTTAGGCCATAAATATTAAACCACAGAGATTTGTTTCTACTTTCTTTAGTTAATTAAGGACACTGTTGGATTTATTTTGTGCTACCACCAGGAGGGCACAACAAGTGAAATATTGTCTTACTAGATGGCTCATTCATTAGCATAAAATAATCAGTGCTTTTGGATACCAGCACTTTGGCTTATGAGGTTGAGGTTTTTGTGATCTCATCTAGGACGTTGCAGCAGTGGTAGAAGGATAAAGGAGACAGACAGTGTGAATGGGGGGGAAAAGAAAGAAAGGGAGCATGCAACTTAGCTGTTGAAATTAGCAGGTTTCCTTAAGAAGCATCAGGCACTTAACAAAAAGGAGAGTGCACAAGTTAAACTTGCCTGGAGGCATATCTAACTGGCGCCTAGGACACAACACAGGAGTAAGCTAAAGTAATTCCCTACTCTGCTACTAACAGAGATTGAATAATTAAAAAAAACATTCGTTCTAGCATATGATTTCTCCTTTGGGTGGGGAAGAAACAAACAAACTACCATATGCTTCTACCAAACATTTCTACTGATTCCATCTGACTTACATTTGTCAATGTAAAGTGATGTGACCTTTTTATTTTTTTTTTTTCCCCAAGAGGGATGATGGTCCATGTTAACATTAAATTTACAGATACATGCAAATACTTAATGCATCTTGTATCTACTTTGGGATAATTTATCACTGAATATCAGAGAATGAGTATTTCTCCAGGAACTATTCTTTATCTTTCTCATTCCCCTGGGGCCCCAGTCTGATTTGCCTTCTGTTGGCCCAAACTTAGTGGAAGACTTGGGTTCACCTATAGAGAGAGACCACGTGCTTAGACACTACTGTGGACCTCCTTCAGACTCCTTTTCCCCAGGTATTTCTCCACCCTCTCTCTGAGCTTTTCATGATTATATGAAAAATTAATAGGATTCTGAGCCACGTTGCCTTTCCTTCCTAATTGCATCAGAGTGTAGGAAGGTGAAGCAATGATACAGTAGGGGAGGCTGAACCTCCATGCCCAAAACAAGGAAATCTACTTACATAGGGGGCCCCTCTGCGTACAGATGTGGGTGGTGTGACCTATTTCTTGGAGGTTTTATCATTTTTGGAAGAGACACCGGTAATTCATTCTTCCTTTCTGAGGAATAAAATAAGAACCCAGACACATTGATTATTAATCATTCATCTAGGGGCTCTCCTCCCTCTTGACCAATGACATAATCATCAGTGAACAATACGTATACTATAATTGACATTTGCACACACAAAAAAAAATCAGTTTATATTGTATGCATCTGCACTAATAAAAATAGTCATCTTTCAAATCCTCCTTTGCAAAGTCTCACTGAACAGACTTCAATATCTATATAGCATTTATTTTGACCTTCGCCTCTCTGATTTCTCTCCACTGGGGAACTGTATGCAATACAATATAACAGACGCATATTTTATTAAAATACATGTTTAGGCTACAGTCTTCAGAAAGTTCCAGTTAGGTGCACAGAAAAACACTGCATCCAGTTGGAGGTTCGACCTATTTAGGTTTCATGTAAAATTTCACCTATTTCTGTCACTCTGAGAATCAGTTGCGTAATTACCTTCTAAACAACTCTGTTGATGAGTTGTGTAATTACAGTAACTCAACAGGTCATCCTAAATTGAGTCTGTGCTTCTGCTTGTTTAAGATCTCTATTTTGATATCACAGATAATTTAATGTTATCTATCCACTGTGGTAACCAAAAGTTCTAGACAAAAATCAGTCATTCCTACTTATAGATGAGTCATTTTAGCATGTTCTACTTCCAGAAAGATTATACGTCTTGCTTTTCTTTGCTTTATTTTATTTTGAGAGAGAACAACGGAGCATACCAGTTGCTACTGCAATTGTATAAGTTCTTTCTTTCATAAAAGACACCCAGATGTATATGAGCACTTGGATAAGTAGAAGACAAATATGTTTGTTATTGATAGATTGTTTTATGTGGATATTCTGTTTTGTTCTTTAGCAATGCTAATTAATAACATCTAGGCTTACAGCAAGCAATTACACATAAGAATTCAGGCTTTTATAAAAAATACTATAAGGTGCTTGATACCATTCTTATTATGTATGTTAAAAGAATAACGTTTTACTTGTGTGTCCTAAAGAAAAAAGCTAACTTCAAAGCTGATGGGGTGGTCATGGATGAAGCAAACCAGTGAAATGGTGAGTACTAGGAAATCATACACCTTCAAGACCAGGGAGGGCTCTATGCCATTGGTGTGTACTTTGAGAAGTGTGATAAGTCACAATAGAAAGTGCTGTATTTTATTTGTAAGATAACATACTTACAATATTACAATATTGCACATGAAGAAATTAACTGTATTTTGAAAATATTCTCTTTGAGGCACCAAGATCTATTACTTTAAACAGCGATTCCATGCAGAAGCAAATACTGAAATGTATGAGAAAATAATCTTAAGAATTTTTCTTTGGAAATGTTACTACTGAAGTAATTTTAAATAAGGAAGAATTTAGCACGTTTGTATTTGTATTCCCAATGTCAAACTCTTTTGTTATCACACTTACACCTCTGTTATTAATGTTAGCCATGGTTTGCAAAAGAGGAAAAGCTAGTTATCAATGAATAATTCAGGCTCCATAACTGTCAGACCTCATTATTTTAAATAAGGCCTGGTAGTTCCAGTTGTAACTGGCTAATTGCATCATTTAAACTTAAACTGTTAGAATATTTCACATAATTCATGATTTTAAAAACTTTTAATACATTCAAAACTACTGTAGTACATAGGGCAATTTGCTTTAAATCAGACAGAGAGAACAAAGAGACATTCTCGTTGTGGTACAAGTCCTCAAGTGGTTAAAATAAAAAGAAGAAAAACTGTGGAGAAACCAATATATCCAGCAGTTAAAATGAAATTTTATCATTAGACTGAAATGGAATGAAATACTTGTAGAAGTGAAAGCTGAAAAAAAATTGAAACATCTGAAACTGATGAAATAAAATATATTCTAACACCCAATGAAATTATATTGCAAAATCATTCACAAGCTATTAGTGAAAATAGCTCTTTTCTTTTTTTGTGGCCATACACTGTGCTTTGGTTTAATTTTTGGCCATAAAAACAATTCCCAGAGCAGCTAAAAATATATGGCATAATGATTTTTAACAAAAATGCATCCAGTGTTTACCAAATGGCTATAGGGAGTTATTATTTGTTAATAATTTGTCCAGTAATATTAGTTTATAGTAATACAATCAACAATATTTGTGTTTGGTTTATTTGTTATTGGTTTGCCCTTAATAACATAGACCTGATAAAGTGAGAAGGAAACATATTTTACATATATTTTCCTTCCAAGAATACACAAAGCAGGAAGAGTCAAGGGTCATTTGCAAACTAGACTAAATTTAAAATACTGTTTTAATCTTTCTCTTCAGCTTCCTGCTCAGATTACATTCAGCAGTTTGATTTGTATCGTGTATCTGTAAATGTGAGAAATTAATATATACTTCTAAATGCGACTTCAAAAAGAAAAAAAAAAGACAATAAATCTCAGTTGTGTACTGAAAGCTATTGCTATGTAGTACATAAAGGTATGTACAGTAAAAGAAGTTTATCCTCATTTCCCAGTTGAGATATTGAAGTTCAAGATAATCTATATACTAATTTTGTAGTCTCACAAACGTGCATACAGATGCACTCATCATGCTTCTGAAACAAAATCTGGGACTTGGAGCCTCCCTTACAACTTTAACAGAATGCTGTATGAGAAATCATGGTAGACTGCCTGAGCATTATAAAAAATGAGAAAAACTTGCATTTGCTGTCTCTAGAATCACTTTGATGTCTTATTTATTTAATTAAAATAACAATATAAAACACCCACAACTCTCAGCTCTCATGTTGAAACTATAAATTTCAGCCCACGTATCCATTAAGAACATCATTAAGGCTGTGGAGGTTACACAGCAAGGGCTTGGATCTTATCCGATATGTAGCAGCCTTGCATTGCTGGATATCTTGTAAAAGCCATCCCTACATTTCTGCATCATACTGGAGGTCATTACCACATACATTCAGAAACTGTGTGTTCTTGTGTTTGAGAGCAGAATTAGTGCACTGCATGGATTAGCTTCCTGGATTTTCCACGTGCTGAAATCGAGCTATTTCTACTTGTGGGGAAAAAAAGAGAAGAAAAAAAAACCAAAAACAAACACACAAAAAAAAACAAAAAAAAAACAACCCACAATATCATCCAGCAATAATTGTTCCCCACAGAGATGCAGACTATCATATTCTCACATTCTTCTGAGCTCTGTAAATTAAAAGCCCAGGTTTCTTGGAAGATGTATCTCTTAAAAAGACAGACAACATCAGATTGAGTCTTGCAGATCTTCGCTTAATGAACAGTAAAAGACTGTAAAAATTCTCTCCTGGCTCCTCAATTCTGGTCTTGCTCTTCCAAGGAGATTTGCACCCCTGGGCAGGAGACAGCATGAATTTTCTGTAGGTAAGTCAATTAGATATAAAATTTTCTATGTTACCTGCATGTGGTCTAATAATGTTACATGCAAGCTCTGATAATTATGAACTTGGAACACCTTATTTTCCCAGTTGCTATGTGTTCTGTTGGTAATCACAATGACAGTGGTTTTCATATTATAATAAGCTGGTATGCCATAAAATGAGTAATTATTGCAGTTAATACTTTGAGTATCATACAGTCCTAAGCTTCAACTTATTGGAGATGTCCATGCAGTATGTCTCAGCGAGTTCAACCTGAAAGTTATGCTGGGAGGTCTAATTTCAAAGAAGCAAATGCAAAGCTATGTAAAAAAAAACAAATAGATAAAAACAGGTCCTGCATGATTATGGTCAGGTAGATGTAGGGAAGAGAAAGGCAGAAGAGTCTGAAGGTGATCCATCACAAGTGTTCTAGATTCTTACAGTTGGCTGTAAACTTATCCTTATAGATGATTTTAAACTCATCAGCTTCAAAACCCAAAATTGTGTATGGTGACACAGCACCTCTCTAAACACATCCCATTCTGGTGGTTGAGACTAATGCTTTAATGGTCAGATTCGAGACTGGCATTCAGAGCTAGAGGTGCCCCAGTGAGGTCAAAGCTCATCTACTTAGTACCATGAAGCTACATTTGTTTATGGGATTATTGTTGTCTTATATGAGGTTTTGAGTTCCTCACATTTAACTCTTTAGAGATCTACGGAGTCAACATTTGGAAATAATGACTTTATAGCAAGGATAAACTAGGAAATAATGGTGCCTTGATATTATAGTTTGTATCATGGAATGTCCAATAACACAATAATATTCATAACTATATATAGGCAAGATAAAATAATGTAGCAATACTCGAAGAAATTGTGGATGTATAAGTCTCAGTTTTTTTAAAAAAAAAAACTCCTTAAAATATTATGATTTTAAAAATCTTAATGTTATAATGATAGTATTTCTCATTAAATCCATATTGACACCAATCCACATCCTTACTTGTTCTTTTCCCTGTTATCTGACACCAATGGGATATAGTCAAATAAAAAATTAGTAAAAACTAGTTGCCTTCCCAAGGAAGAAAATATTTGCTCTTCTTGTCTTGCAGTGTCTGGAGACTTGTTTACTGTGTTCACTTCCTGTAAGCTTTGTCAGCTCAGCTGTCTGATCTGCAGCTTCATTTTTAAATATTTTTCTCTGAAAAGACACCAAGTAAGTCTCCAAATGTTTTATGTCTATGGCCACATCAGATACTGCAACGAAAAGGTGACTTATTCCAGTCTGCCTTGAAGTTATCCAGAGTTGGCTTCACCCTTGTCAAGGGCTGACTCCCTGGAAGGAAACGTCAGGTTTAGGGTATGCTGGATATGTTCCATCAGTGAAAGGAATCAAGTTTTTTTTTGTGTGCAGAACATGGTCTTAAAGTCAGCCACTGACCAAAAAAAAAAAAAGCTTTTTTCCTCAGAGTTATATTCACATGGTTGAAAAATACATGGTAGCTGGAGACAGTACAGTAAGTGGTAGGTGTGATACAGAGTAGTGCTCCTACTGCGCATATTCACTCTGAAGGGTCATTCAAAATGTGTCTCTACATAAAAGCCCCAATGTAAATAATGTCAACTGTCTATGAAAGCAGGTGATTTAGGTCACCAAGCAGCATATGTTGGTTAAATTGTATTATTCTTTCAAATACTTAATGTACATCTAAGCTATTCACTTGTTAGAGTGAAAGGAGGCAAGGATAAAAGAGGCTTGTTTTTACTTTGCTTGTCTATAAAATCTTCACTATGGAGAACTATCCACTGTTTTTTAAAAGAAAGCAAACAAATGGAGGCATGCAGTGCCATTGAACATTATAAAAAAATGTTTGGGAAGACTGCGCATGAGCTGGGTGAAGAGGGAGATCTGAAACTAGCTGCAAATGATAAGAAGATACTGAAATACATGCGAGCATCACTTGAGAACTGTGAAAGAATAAGGCAAGGGTTTTTTTATTGGGATGAAAATGTCACCGAGTGTCTCATTATTCTTAGATCCATTCTTATTGCAAGAAAGCAACAGACCTTAGTGAAAAACAGCAAGAAAACTCATTATTTAAAGTGTGTATAAAAGCAGAAAATGGAGTTAAATTTCAGGCTTTAAAAGCTCTCATTTCTCAGCTTTGATTGAAATCAGGCCAAGTCTTGCTTGAGTATCTTGAAAATCCCTCGTATCTTTTCTCCACAGTGACCAGCAATTCTACCTGTGTAACTGGGCAGAGGAGGCTTTTGAAATTCAGACTATTACCAGCCTTTGCAGGAGAGGCTAATGGAGTCCAAGAAACCTCTTCCTGTGTTTTGCATTCGAAAATCTTGCAGTTGGTCTTAGGGGAGCCCAGGGACTGTGGTGTTATCTCTTGCACAGGGGAGCAGGTCCCCAGGGTGAGGCTGAGCTACCAATCAACTGAATTTGCAGAGTGGGCCAGGTTTGCAGTAGACAAAGGCTTCCTTCATTACCTACTGCTGCTTGGGATGTCAAAGTAGGGCAGCAGCTAGGAATCCATGTGGTACCTGTTGCACAACATGGTTGCTTAACAGATTAGAAATCTTATAATCAGATATATCTCACCATGAGAAGATGTTATTACTATTCTTTGTTTCAGAGAAAATTGGCAAGAACTTCTCAGCTGTGGATAAATATTTCTACAGTGTTTTCAACACTATCCTTTTATATGTAAGTGCATCGTGAATTTTCCTAAGCACATATTTTTAAGGAAGGAAACACGCTACAACAGATGCATTGAGCATAATTCTGCCAAGTACAAACATAAGAGTGCTGCTGTTGACTGTGAGCATAGAGCGGTGAGCTAAGGTAGAGAACAACAGTATTTGACAGAGCTGGTCACAGCTGACATTTCTGTTCTTGATCCAGTGAATCATCTGAATCCTGTAAGAACATTCATCATGGAAACAGTCTGAGACGGAGAAATAAACTGAGCTCTCTTACAGAATCTATTCTTGACCCAAACTGGTGATGTTAAGAAAGGGCTCTGATAGCTACATATATTCTGTTCACTCATAAATAATAGGGGGGCACTGTTTACTGTTTGTAGTCCTTGTGGTTACAGTGGGACTGTCACTGTTTTATTAGTTACTTTTGCACTTTCTGATGTTCCTGTAAAACAACATTCTGTTTCAGGAGATGTGCCTGTCAAGGAAGCAGGAGAGGGTGGATAGCATGATGAGTGCCTTCCAACACTTTGTTTATGTCTCTGTGGGGTGGAAGTATTTTGTTAACTCTGTGCTCACAATGTGGATCAGTTGCTGCTGCCAACATAAATATTTTCAAATATTTCACCAAGAATTGCTGCGAAGCTACAGGAGATTTTCTGCCTATATGACTGAGATTGTGTCTCCTTTGATTTCAACTTCATTTAATTTTGCAGAAGAGGCAAACACAAGATGAGTAATAGTGCAGCCCTCCAACTTGCATTATTGATACTTCCAAAGTGTCCAGTTCAAACAGGGGCAGAATGTTAACAGAACTGAGAGTATCAGTCTAGTGGCTGAAGGACAAAAATAATCTGCCTTTTTGATCTTTGCTGGTCAACAAAAGCATGCTTTGCTTGCTCCGTAAGTCTTTCATGTGAGAGAAAATGGACAGAGATGAAAACCCACGTCTGATCTAACGCTTTTGCAAGCTGTGTTTTCGTACACCCACAGGAGATGAAGAGTTCTGGCCTTTGAGAATAATGGACAAAGGTAAAAGAGAATTCCCTTCTGTCATGTAGAAAGTCACTGATAAACTTTATTCTGTGTATAAAACGTGCTATGGATGCAGGGTTATCATCCTTAAGTACCTACTTTCTACTGAAATGAACTGGTCAGAAAATTGGAGGCTCCAGGAATAAGCCAGACCCTCAGTTCTCTATGTGGATCACAGTGTGAGCTTTAGAAAAAATATTTATAACACACGTCATCACTTTTCTAACAGATTTTGTTTGGAGAAGCTGGATCAGACAGAGCTGGAAGACTGATAGATTGCTCTGACCACTGACTTGGAGTATATACAGCTAACTGAACCAGTAATTCAAAATGTTTTTTAAATAAATTTAGTGTTCTATTTCCTGCCTATAAAATACCTGCAAAAAATAATAATAAAAAAAACATTAAATGTATTAATTCACTAATTGGTCTAGCTCACCTTTTTTTTTTTTTATTACCTCAGGATAGAAAAACTGGAAATATGGAAATCTGCTGATCTTTATTCCTGATTGCATGAGTAGTGCTTTCATAGTGAAAGCAAGAAGACAGGGGAATCTATGGGTTTTTGATGCTCTCAGGCGTTGGGAAGTTTAAGAACAAGGAACAGTGAATGAGGATTAGTGGATTTTAGAAGAATAATCCTATGAACTGCTTTTTTTTTTTTTTTTTAATGGCTGAGAAAGAGGAATATTTTTTGATTGCCGTACATTTATTTCTCTCATTTTTAGAACCTGCATTAACAGTCCCTCATTGTCCATGCGTCGCTCAGATGACCAAGGCCAAACCCTACTAACCCTGGGCAGGACAGGAGCATGGTGTGAAGTGAAGAGCAAGAGAAAGTTTCACAGGATAAGTGATGGCCAACTGAAGTTTCTCTTTTGTGAGTTTTACCTTTTTCATCCTATTTGACATTTCTGAAACGGAGCTGTATTACAGATTAGTAGCCCATGGCAGTAGGCTGGAGAGATGAGATTTTAGTGTGATATGGTACACAGGCAGTGGAGGAGGGGAGTGAGGGTAGGGGAGCAAAGAATGTGTGAAAAATTGAAATGACAAGGTCGTGTTGATAGCTTGGTTGTGGGAGCTGTTGAGGTAGTTTGTTGCATTATGATTAGAGATGGGCTTATTCTCATGAATAAGATCAGCTGATCTAAACCTTCATTCAGTTCTCTGAGCAAACTCAAGCTGAGCCTAAGGTAAGGTTAAGACAAATCTAGCACTACTGGTTTTGGTTTCCTAGCTCTAATGTGCTAAGACTCAGCTCACAATGGAAAGCTAGAATCTAGAAAAATGTTAAAGACACACATCCAATTTAAAATCACTCAGTCTGGAAAACCTTTGACAATAACAGTTTTACACCATTTCTAGCCTTCCATCCATAATGAAGAGCTTCATATCCCCTCTGATAACCATCCTAGTAGCAAAATGAAGCCAAGTCTGCAAAACTCACAAATTTCAGCCCAGTTTGTTTGTTTGTTTGTTTGTTTATTATTTTTTTTAATTACTTTCTTCTTCAGGTGAGATGCCAAGCTTTGGTCAAAGGCAACCCATGAGAGCAGAGTCTGCATATGACGACTTGCATTGGGATCTGCACTGAATATAGCACACAATCCATCTGCAAGTCGTTTCTCTTCACCTTTATCCTGTGGGAAGTAGGTTTGTATTCAGATTTAGTCTACAAACAATTCTACGAAAGCTGAATTTCTGCTGTTCTGTGGTGTGCCATATTCCCTGCAGTGAGGGCTAAGTTCTTCCTGTTTTGTGCAGCGTTTGCCTAATGCAGACAAAATTCCTCCTCCTCACAAGGATTCTTGCAGAAAGCAAAGCCAGAGAGCAAGGGCAAATGGAGACAAGATGTAGATTACCTTGGACTCCCTGTTTTGAAACACTTGCCAAGCTCATTGAGGTAATAGTTTTGATTTGGTAGCATAACAGAATCCATATACAGCCTGTTTCTTAAAAGTGCAATCAGCATTGTAGGCTTTCTATCCTTTTTTTGAGTTAATAATGTCAGTGCTTAGCTGTTAGGTATTACAGGTATTGGTGATGATACAGTGGGGCAGAAATATACGGGATACCAGCATGTTTTGAAGTGGTAGTTCTTGAGTCAATAAAATAATGACCTGTATCTGTATAAGAAACATTTTTCGTGACCATTTCTATTCTCAGTGTGCTTTACAGACCTGACAGCTGCATCTCTTTCAACTGTGGCAATGCAGAGCAGCTCCTCCAGCTGAGGCTACAGGGACTCTGCTATGCAGGACTTGAAGAGCGAGGGTGAGAAGCTCTACTTGTTCTCTGCATCAAGGTAAATAGTTGCCTGAAAATTTATTCTCATAGGCAATTTATTTTTTCATCATCTCTTTTTTTCCTTCAGGAATATGTAGCAGTGGAATTAGGTAAAATTCTATCGAAGAATCCTTTATTCCTGTGTACAAAACCTGAATTTAACCTTGCCAGTGATTTAAAAAGATTTAGTTTATTATTTATTTTCTTGGACTTCCACAGTCTAGACAAGTCTCCACAATTAAAAATTCATAATAGTTTTCTTCACTGATTCTCAGACATCTCTGCAGAGCATGTGATGTCTCAAAGCTTCAGAGCTCTGTGCATGCATCAATACTTACAAACTGAGTTCAATGAACTTGATGCTTTTTTTAAAATTTGTAGTTATCATAATTAGTTATTAAAATAGACATACTTTGCATGGAAAAATAACAGCCATTTTATGGCCGCACATTTAGTACATGGCTACTGCTTTCTTCTTTCTAAAATCTACAGAAGACACATGACTTTGATGTCAGTAAAGCTTGTGTCATAATCATCAAATGGAGCTGGTGCCAGATAAGCCAGATGGATCTTTAAACCAACAATTTGTATTTGTTTTTTATGTCAATGACTTATTTGTCATCCATGAAACTTGCAATAGGACAAAGTAAGAAGAAAGATTTATTCTGAGAGAATAAAAAAAAGAGACCTATTAGGAGCTTGTGTGTTATTATTTGATCAAACAGCACAAATAGATGACTTGCAAAGATCAAGTACAAGACTTGTCTCCAGCTGAGCGCTGCTTCATGCTTTGTACCAGAGCTCAAGAGGGACAGGGACTGAATGGTTAGTTTATTCCTGTGTACTGTGAAAAATTTCAGAGCATTCTATTCATATTGCCCATATTGTTTATTTAATCACGCTTTATTACATTACTGACATACTAGCATCTTTCTCTTCTCTCTTACTTTGTAAGAATATGTAGAGAAGCTTTGTCTCTCTTAGACAAACTGTTTTACATACATGTTTGTATACACTGTATAATATCCTTCCTCTGGTGAGAAGAAAAAAAAATTAAAAAGCAATGTGCTATGACTTGCTTTGGCATTTGAGAGAGGTGAGGAAATAAAATAAATATAAAGGAAATATAAACTATTATTTAAACTCTTATCTGGTTTTTGTTCTGTTTTCCCTAAATATCTGTTTCTCTCCCATCTTCCTCCCTTCCTCTCTCTCTCTTTTTGTAGTGGTAGATGCTGGAGACCTTCCGAAGGATGTGCATGAGACTGCAGATGTAGGCTGGGGCCAGTTTCCTTTGCCCTTCAGAACATGAGGAAGTTAAGACAAAGAAAGTATGCCTTTTCCATTTGATCTTTGTTTATATATTTTGATTTAATAATGGTAACTTTTCAACAAGCTCTGACTTTTGTCTTATGATATAGACTGTTCCTAGAATTGCATGGCAACAAGCAGAATCCATTTTAAGGGTAGATTTTCATACTTAATTTTATTTATGACATGAACGTAATACTGTGGTTTTATAATGAATCTCACTAACACATGAAAGACTGTTTAAGACAATAATATGAGAAGTCCTCCTTTCAGTTCAGATTCTGTGTGAGAGGGTTAATGTCTGAGCACACTGGAGTCACCCCTGTGGATTAATCCAGTGGGCTCAGACCAGTCCTACTCAACTCTCCAAAACCAGCGTGATAATCAGCAAGTCTCTACACGGAGTTGACGAGTTAAGCAATCACAATGACTTGACCATCAACTTGACCTTTAAGATCCCTTCAGAAGAGATTTGATCCACACTGATTTACTTTATCTCTCAGACTGTAAGATCTGTACTAAAACCCTGATTGACCAGAAGTCTTTTTTTTTTTTTTTTTTTTTTTTTATGCCTTACGTTAGCCAATGGCCCAGTGTGAAAACAGTAAGTGAAAGTCACACCTTACTGAATTCGAAGGGAGGACTGCTTTCAATGGAGCTAGAATTTCACCAAGCAAACCCCATTGACAGTATTTGGGTCTCACCTGTGTCTGAAGAGATGTGAAAGCTTTTGTGGACCCCACAGTATCACTATGTAAAATGTATCTTGCAAGCTACTCTGATGTCTTCATGACACTAATGTGCATTTAAAAATAGTAGTTTTTATTAAAAAATGTACAATGATGACATAAATTATTTACTGAGTTACTGCAAAATGCTGTGTCGCCTGACATGATAATTATATTGTTCTGCCATTCCACTAGTAATGAAAGCCTTTACTTACTTGTAAGTTATTTTTTTACTGAACATTAGCAAAGCAACATATTGGAAAAATAAAACATAAAAACAACATTAGGCATTTATGTTACTGTCACAGATGCAAATAATATAGGCATTGATGTTATCCACTGAAGCTTATCCTCAGCTTTCCATAACCACTACTGAGTATCTTTTATTATTTAGGTTCATCCCTCACAGTTCTTTCAGATGGCATTTCCATAACAAAAACGGATATTTTATGGGGGAGATAAATCATCTGCTTTTGTATCTGCTCCCTTTTTTGGCTTTAAGGATGGCTTTCTACCTATCTATTCCCTCATCTATTTCTACCTATCTATTTCCTCATCTCTTTCTATGACTGGGTGACCAGTCTGGTAGATGAGGGAAGGGCTGTTGATGTAGTCTACCTAGACTTCAGCAAAGCCTTTGACACAGTCTCTCACAGGCTTCTGGGGAAACTGGCTGCCTGTGGTCTGAACAGGTATACACTTCTTTGGGTAAGGAACTGGCTAGAGGGCCGTGCCCAATGGGTAGTGGTGAATGGAGTGAAGTCCAGCTTGCGACCCATTTCAAGTGGTGTCCCCCAGGGGTCGATACTGGGGCCCATTGCTGGGCTGAGGTGAATGGGATGAAGTTCAACAAGGCCAAGTGTTGGGTCCTGCACTTTAGGCACAACAACCCTATACAGCGTTACAGGCTTGGGGACAAGAGGCTGGATGATTGTGAAGAACAGAGGGATCTGGAGGTGTTGGTTGATGCTCGGCTGAACATGAGCTGACAGCATGCCCAGGTGGCCAAGAGGACCAGCGGCATCCTGGCCTGCATTAGAAGTAGTGTGACCAGCAGGAGCAGGGAGCTGATCATCCCCCACTACTCAGCACTGGTGAGGATGCACCTTGAGTATTGTGTTCAGTTTTGGGGCCCTCACTACAGGAAAGATGTTGAGGTTCTGGATCGTGTCCAGAGAAGGGCAATGAAACTGATGAGGGGTCTGGAGCACAAGTCTTAGGAAGAGCAGCTGAAGGAGCTGGGATTGTTCAGTCTGGAGGAGGCTCAGAGGAGACCTCATTGCACTCTACAACTTCCTGAAGGGAGGTTGTGGTGAAGAGGGATTTGGCCTCTTCTCCCAGGCAACGGGCAGGACACGGGGAAATGGCTGCAAGTTGTATCAGAGGAGGTTTAGATTAGACATATGGAAGAACTATTTCAGAGAGTGGTCAGGCACTGGAATGGCTGCCCAGGGAGGTGGTGGAGTCACTGTCCCTGGCAGTGTTCAAGAGGTGTCTGGATGACGTCCTGCGTGATATGGTTTAGTGCTTGTGGTGGCAATGGTGATGGGGAGACGGTTGGACTAGATGATCTTATAGGTTGTTTCCAACCTTGTGATTCTATGATTCTATTGATCCAAATAGGTCTGATTCTTTCTGTATTGTATTGATAGAAGTGAAGTGTGGATATGCAGCTGCCACATTATGTATCTTCTATATATAATATTAGCTCTAGGCAAGTACTAAAAATGTTTTCTGTTCATGCTGATGTAGTTTTCTGATGTTTATGAAATTTTATTTATGTAGGAGACAATTTAAAAAACAAACAAACAAACCCTAAATAGAACAACTACATCTATACCCCAGAAATTGAAGGTGAGAGAAGATGGGTACCTGGTGGTGTAAAGAAGGAAAACTACTGATTAATATCCCATACAATTAAAATTATAAAAGACAAAGCTCTTTGCACACCTTTCCAAAAGCAGTGGCTTGTGCCACATAGGATTCTTATTTTGGTTTTTATACTGATGTGATACTCCAAGTATAGCATAAATTAATATTTTCCAGAAGGCAGACTTTGACCAGTTCAGGATGTTTGTTGCTGGGGTCCCTTGGGAGTTGCTCCTTAAGAGTAAAGGGGTCCAGGAAGCCTGGATGCACCTCAAGATGGAAATCTTAAAGGTATAAGAACAGGCTGTTCCTGAATGTGGTAAGGTGAGCTGTAGGGGAAGAAAACCAGTGTGAATGAATGAAGAACTACTGTTGAGACTGTGTAAGAAAAAGACAGTCTGTGTCCTCTGGAAAAAGGGGCAGGCCACTTAGGGAGATTACAAGGAAGTTGCTAAGGTTTGAAGGGAGGAAGTTAGACAAAAGCCTAACTCAGATTGGCCAATGCAGTTAAAAGAGAATAAGAAGTCCTTTTACAAATACATCAACAATAAGAGAAGAAAAAGGAGAATTTCCATTCTTTGCTTGATGCAATGAGGAATGTGACCACTAAGGATAGGGAGAAGGCTGAGGTCCTCAACGCCTTCTTTACTGCCTTTAATAGACAGATCATTTATCCTCAGGGCACTTTACATCCTGATATGGAAGTCTGGAATGCTATGCAGAATATACCCCTGGTGATTCAGGTGGAGAGAGTTAAAGAGCTCCTCCTCCATCTGGACTGTCACAAGTCCACGGGACCGGACGGACTCCATCCTAGGGTGCTGAGGGAGCTGGTAGGGGTGATTGCTGAGCCCCTCTCTGCCATCACTCCTAGTTGTCTGGAGAGGTCCCAGAGGATAGGAGACTTCCGATGTGACTCCCATCTACAAGGGCGGTAAGGAGAATCCAGGGATCTACGGGCCAGTCAGCCTGACCTCAGTACCAGGGAAAGTTATGGAGCAAATCATCTTGGGTGACATCACACGGCATGTGTGTCGCATCCAGGAGATCAGGCCCAGCCAACACGAGTTCATGAAAGACAGGTCATGCTTGACCAAACTCCTCTCCTTCTACAATTTGGTGATCAGTCTGGTAGATTAGGGAAAGGCTGTTGGTGTAGTCTACCTCGACTTCAGCAAAGCCTCACAGTATTCTCCTGGGGAAACTGACTGCCCACAGCCTGGACAGGTATACCCTTCTTTGGGTAAGGAACAGGATAGACAGCTTTGCCCAGCAGGTAGTGGTTAATGGAGCTAAATCCAGTTGGTGACCCATTAGAAGCTTACATTCTATAAGCACCAGTTTGCCATCAAAGCTACTATCCCAGGAACAAAACAGTTTAGAAACTCATTGATATTTTACCTTGCAGTTGACCGCAAACAATATTTCAAGGTCTGGTTGCCAATGTATGCAATTAAAGAGAATTTGGTGAAGTAGGAGGAGGAGGGGGATGGCTGGTAACTCCCAGTAATAACATGAATGTCAGTTATCTGTTGTCTGACGTTGAACCAAACTGTGAAATATGTGTAATTCTTCTAACATTGCTACTGATGTAGTACCCAATTTTTGTTTTTTTTTCTTGGTACATGTGACTGCTTTTGACCATGACAGGTTTTCATAAATCTGGTGTCATTATAAAACACATGAATTGTGTCACCACTGCTACAACAAGAGAAATCCATCACGGATCAAAGTGCCAGGAAAAGTCCTATTTACTATATAAGCCCCACTTAAGCTTTCCAAATACAGCCTGAGTGGAATTTAAGTGGGCCATAGGCCACGTTTGGTTCCTATACACAAGCATGAATTTTACACTGTAAAAACAAACTGAAATATAAAGCATTTTTCTAATGTAATGCAGAGCTATGTGTAGTTACAAGGACATCCAGGGCTAGATATCTTTGCTAGTATATTACCTTGAATACCATGTTATTTTTTCCAGAATGCAAAACAATAAAACAGTCCAATATTATTTTAATACTTTTAACATTGGACCTTTAGACTACATAGTATATCTATCTAAACAGAGCTGTCTATATCCTGCTCAGATCACAAGCTTTGCTCAGGGATCATGCCTATCTCCTCATTTGTACATTATCTAGAGTGCTGTAAGCAACCCAAGAACTTCTCTGTTGTGAGAGATTCACTGTAATCAGAAAAAAAAAAATTACAATCATTTATTTATATATGCAAAAATATAAGCCATTACATTACATAACATGTATTTTTGATTGCAGAAAGCAATTGTGTTTCTTCACCATAAAGCTCTTTGACTTAAGAAGCCACTTCAGATCATACTGCATCCTTTTTTTTCCCCCACCATACTTAAATGCAATGTTAACTGATGCTTATAAGGTGCATTTTATATAGTAGGTAAAATTGTTGAACTCCTCAAAAATAATTACAGACCAAGCAACATGACGCTTGACTAATAATTAAAAGTCTAGGGAGACATGTCACACCATTCTTTGTGATGAGTAAAACACTTTTTGTGATTGATTTCAGCACAGATCTCAGCATCTGCCTCCTTTCTTTCTAAATCTCAGTGTTTACTCAGCATTGCAGGCTATCGTATTCATTTGTTTCAAAGCACTTTAAGAAACTGTGTACCACTAGAGACCAAAAATCTCCACTGAGCTGCTTTGAATCAGATACATGATCTTAAAGATCCTTTTTTGTTCCAGAGCTACTAATTTGTCTCTACTTGAATAAAACAATGGAAAATAAAATACTCTCTTCATCAAGGCTCATGTACCTAATTCAGCGTAATATTTCATTTCAAATTGTCTCATTTTATTCTCTCTGATTCTGTTAAAAAAAAAAAAAAATCACTACAGTGGAAGAAAGTCAAACTAGAGATTATATTAGGCCAAGGCAAATGGTATTCACCTTTTATAGTCCCTATGTTTTATAATGAAGATACTTCATTGAAACAATGATGCATACTTCAACAGTTCCCCGGAGAGCAGTGAATCCTGTTTGGAGAGATTCATGAATATGTGCATTAGCACAGTCCAACTGGAACTTGCCCTTAAAAAAGAACCACAAGAGAAGCTGATCTGTTTCTGCTTATGTATATAATCAGAAGTTTATCATATTATCTCCCCCTCCAGAGGGAAAAGCAAATGCATATTCTTCTACCACTTTCAAATGAGAAATGCCAAAGGAAACAAC